AACATTATGGCATTAGCTTTTAATTAAAACTTTTAATTTTTAATTCTAAATCAACTCAAATACACATCTATATAGATGAGAGTTTAGTACTTACAACTGAATATGTTTAAAAGGTACTAAAAACAAATAGCTAAATTTGTGATTACATTGATATATAGGAAATTAATGTTATTTAATATTAACATCAGAATTAAAGATTAAAAATTCATATAAAAGTTGATTTACAAACTTACTTTAGCACTATAACTTCATATATAGGAATGAGAGATTTTACATTATTTCTTAGTAATAAAGGATGTATGAATAAAGATATTGTTCCTTTTAATGGATGCTTTTCTAATAATTATGATTGTATTTAAGGTTGTGAAAATTGTATTAAAGGAATTTGCTATTAATGCTTAATTGGATGGGAATTTATAGAATAATTTAATTCTTGTATTCCTTTATGTGGAGATGCCATCATCACTTATGATGAGGAATGTGATGATGGTAATTAACTTATTTTTGATGGATGTCATTAATGCAAGTATTCTTGCCCTAAAGATTGTAAATTATGCTAATTTGGAAAGTGTTTAATGTGTGAAAAGAATTATCTAGTTTTAGAAAGTTAATGTCAATATATTCCTGATAATATAGGATTGGCTTATATGGAAAGAGAATGGTTCATTTTATTTATAGATTAGTAATACTAATAAAATATATTATAATGGAGGAATCAATTATCTAACATAGATTATAATAATAAAAATTATTTAGGATATTTTGAATAGATTTATTTGAATTTTAAAGTATTTGGATATGAACATAATCAATCAAAGTTTTTATAATTAAATAATTGTAAAGTGGAATATTTTGGAAAGTGTTTGGAATGTTAAAATGAATATGAATTAGATTTTCATAAAACTCAATGTATTCCTAAATGCTAGGATGGTATTATATTATCACAAGAAATATGTGATGATGGAAATAGAATATAATTTGATGGTTGTTACAAATGCTAAAAAAGTTGTTAAATAGAATGTTTATATTGTTCTAATAATTAATGTTATAAATGTTAAGAAGGATGGTATCTTAAAGATTACTAATGTATATAGATTTGTGGAGATGGATTATTGGCTAATATTTCTAATGAGTAATGTGATGATCTTGATGATTTAAATTGTATTAATTGTTAATATTAATGTGATAATGATTGTTTGGTTTGTGATAAGTTCAAAAATTGTGAATTTTGTTCATATCCATTTCAGATTAAAGATGGAAAATGTTTACCTATATGTGGAGATAAAATTATAACTCCCATTTTTGAAGAATGTGACGATGGCAATGATATCCCATATGATGGATGTTATGAATGCCAATTTTAATGTTCTTTAGGATGTATACAATGTAAAGAAGATAATCATTGTGAATAATGCGATAACTTATATTTTATTTTAGATACTCAAACATTTAAATGCTAAGATCTATATTAAAATATAGATTCAGAACTAAAATAAAATGATACTAATTTGTTTACTGTATAATGTAAAGAGAATTAAATGTTTATAAATAATTAATGTGTTAATTAATGTGGGAATGGAATACTTAATAGTTAATTTGAATAATGCGATGATGGAAATAATATTGGTGGAGATGGATGTTCAGCTTTTTGTTTTGAAGAAGATTCCTTTTTATGCATTAATTAAGAAAATTCATTAAGTATTTGCACTTTTATTCAAAAACCTGATTTCAATTTAATTCTATTATCTGATAAAAATAATCAAACAAAAATACTTGAATTAAGTTTTACTTAAAATGTTTATAAATTATGCTAATTTCCATTTGAAAATATTGTAGAAATTATCATATTACCATAAACAGAATAAAAATTTACTATTGTACCAAATATTAATATTACTTCTTAATTAAATAATCCTAGTTATTATATTTATATTGAATTTTTGAAATCTGTTGCAGAGCCAATTTTATAAATTGACATACAGAAATTCTGTATTTTTAATTAATTTGATTTGGATTTAACTACTAATACCAAATAAATAGCTCTTGGAACCCCTTTTTTATTATCAGAAGATAATTAAAAAAAAGTAACTTCAGTTATCAAAATGAATGATGCTGTGATTTATTCAACAGCTAGTATTGCTGGAATACTTTTATTAACTGGTAATTACATTGTATTTTTTAATTTATTAGATTTATTGTAATCACTATCTTATATTAAATATATGCAATATAATTTTCCTCCTCATTTAAGTTAATTTCTTGAAACCTATACTAAAATCTCTTTATAACCCATTTTAGATATTTTAAAATTTAATGAGATTATTGCTAAACTTAATGGAGGTACTCTTCCGTCTTAAGGATAGAAATCGAAACAACCTTAATATACAAATGCTATGAATTAATTTTATTTAATCAATGCAAAAGGATGCTTCTTTTCTTACTTAGCATCATTACTTACATATTTTATTTGCTGTCTAATATCTTCAATTCAAGTATCATAATGGTTGAGAAAACGTTATGAAAAGAATAGCAACAGCATAATAGTTCTTCGCAGAATTTTAATTTTTTAAAAGACAATTTTATCGAAATGTTCAAAATTGAAGAATAATTATTTCTCTTTAGGAGTTTATTAACTATTTTACTCAACACTTCATTAGCTAGCGTTTAGTACACTATTATAATTTCCATAATATACTTTTAATTCTATTTTTGAGATAATTAATAGTGTAATAGCATTAGCAAGCCTATTATTTATCATTTAAATACTTTTTAGATTGCTTTCAATTACAACTTCCAAAATTTAGGATAAATAAAAATGGTAGTATTTTTTTTAAGATACAAAAACTGAATTTTGGGCAGGTAATTTCAAATCTTTTTAAATTTATAGAACAGTTTATTATATTACAATTATAGTAAAATTCATAAAATATCCAGAAGCATAATCAATTTTACTTTCTATGTAGTCATTCTTTTATATTATGTACTTAATCTTCTTTAGACCTATAAAATCAAATTTTGATTTAGCAAAATTATTGTGTAGAGAAGTAGTGTTTTTGATAATAACAGGATCTTTTTTAGTTTATAGTTTAGAATTAAATGAGGATTAATTTTTATTCTACGGTTGGTTACATATAGCACTGTTTTGTTTCATAATGAGCTTTACTTTAATAGTTGACATTCTAGAATAAGGGATATAAGCATATAGTAACCATTTAAAAAAAATAGAAAAGTAAAGAAAATTACAAATCTTGTTATATTATGATAATCCAATATAAAAATTTGTTATGATGGATAATTAAGATTTGAAAAAAAAATTGTGAATTATCAATATAATATAATTAATATTTTATTTGATTAAATTCCGTTATAATTTATTCATTGAAGAATTTATCATAATGAAAAATTTGAAATTAAAGTCTATAATTTCTAATAAAATTTCAATTATTATAAATGTGAGAATAAATATAATATCTCAATATTAAAATATTTATTAAAAAACGATTAATCTCAGTATTTACTTTATAATTTTGAATTATAAAAGAAGTATGTATTTCTATTTAAAATTACATAAATAAGAAATCAAATTTATGAAATTTTAATGAATAAAAATAATCAATTATCTTAGAATAAATCTAAGTAATTTTTCACTTTATTATTTTGTTTTGGCTTCTTTAAAATAACCTTATAATATCAATCTAATTGAAATCTGAAATTCAAAATGATATTGTGATAATAAAATTTGTTGGATTAGTATATTATTTCAGTAGAAACTGTAATTATCAATATGAAGAAATTATTATTTTAAAATTTATTTCTGAATCTTATCGACACAAAAACATATGTTTTTAAATACTTTTTAATTTTCAAGGAGTCAATAGTTTAATTCTCTCTTTTTTTCATCTTTGAGTAGATCTCTTTTACAGGCAACTCAATTTTTGAAAACTATAAGGAAAAGAAATAGAGAAATCTACTCAAATTGTTTATAATATAAAAAATATATCCATTAGTATGCATAATTATTTGAATTTATCAAATAATCAGGATCATTTATAAGTAATCTCTTTAACACACATTAGTTTCATTTTTAATTTAAGTTCTGCTTAATATTAGACACTGATTATACTTTGGTATATATAAGTTCTCTAAGGTTTCTTTAAAGCCTTTTTTTTGATGATGTGTCAATTGATTCCTCAAAATATCATTCCTTCACTAAAATCCAGGTTAGCAAACGAATTATAAATATTTCAGTTAAATAGATATTAAATATCAAATAATTATAGTGTTTCAGGTTTTAAGCAACTCTTAGAGACATCTATTTAAAGTAATTGTTTAAGATTTTTAGACTTTATCAACAGTCTAATAGATTTTTAGTTTAAATATAATTAATTTTTTATAGAATTTAATAAATATAGACCATAATATTTATTATTTTTATATATAAAATTATTTAAATACATTATATAGAAAGACATTTTGTTATATTAAAAATTCATTTTCCAAATTACTTAATATTTCCAATATAATTTTTATCCTAAATCATTATGATTGAAGTAGAGGAGAACTTTAAGAATTGTTAAAATGTAAATATATAAGTAATAAAAATTAATATTTTTAAACATTATCAAAATTATATTATTTCATATAAAGTAATTACTTATATAAAAATAATTATTAAATTAAAAAAGTTTAAAATTGTTTGTTATCCTTTCAACTATATATTTATATCTAAAGACTATAAGAAATTTCTCTTAAATCTTAAAAACTTCTATTCCAGAACAATTCTAATTTGTCGAACGATATTTATTTAAATAGATCTAATAATCAAATATAATTATTCCATATAATCAAATCTTAAGGAATTCATGTTTAAAAACTATGAAATCTCAAAGAAAATTATAAAATTATTTATAATTGAGTGTGAATCTTTATAATAAAATTCAATTTCACTATAAAGATCATTAATCCATATAAAATTTCATTAATAATAATAAATCTATAAAATGTCTTAAGCTTAAGATCAACTTTCATAAGAATTTCCACTTATAGCATATTAAGAAGATAATGGTTAAATTGACACATTTTTTGCTACCTTGAGGAATCTAGGTTGGAGGTAGGCTTCAACTAATATTTAAAATTATAAGCTTGCATCTCATAAGGAAATAATGCTCTTTTTTGTAAGAGTATATGCTTTTATTGGCTGGAATGCTGTCTACTTTTTATCTTATGTCTTTTATTTTATTGGTTACAAAGTCATAGAATTACATAAATAATGAAAATATTGAACTTCATTAAGGTCTGTATTTTGGAAGCCTTGCTGTTACAATAGGAATAGGGATGGTAGCATATTTTTTTGATGGATCTAGAAGAGTAATATTTTAATAAATTGAATTAGTTTACATTAAATTTGGTATATTATCTTACATTTACTTTCGGAACAGCATATATATTAGGGGATCCTCTATCAGAGGTTTTATATGAAGGTTACTATGTTGGAGAGGACTGGATAATATTGTTATATCTATTCACAATGACTTTAGGAACTTATGCATGTTTAATTTTATTTTCATTTAGAAGATAAACTGCATTAAATTAAAATGGTAATAGTTTTGTCATATATTAAGTAATAATACTTTCAATTAGTGGTATGATGATTTTTTTGTTATTCATATTTATAATGACTGCTCCTTATTATATTGGACTATTGGTTGCAAGTTTTTTTTGCCATTTAATCTATGGATGTCTTCTTATTATTGATATGAAATTAATAATATCAGGAAAAGTATTAATACAACTATGGAAGTTTTCACTTAAGACGAATTAGTATGTTTCTGGAGCTCTATACTTGTACTTAGATATTACTGTAATGGTGCTTTATTTTATCGTTTGTATAATATATGCAATTCTTAAGGTGATTGGATAAATCTGTAAGGTTTTTTGTAGGTGTTGTTGTGAATTTTTGTCTCATGCGAAGTGAATTATGAGTATTAATTCAAAGAAAGATTAATAATATCATTTAAACTATACATCAATTATTATCTATCATCTAATTTTAATTGATAGAATATATTGTTTAATTAATTAAATTATAAATAATTTAATTACAAAAGGATATATTAATATATTAATATATTAATGAAAATAAATTATTTAAATTAATAATTACTATGCGATAAATATAATATTTATAATTACGTATATATAAATATATGTAGAAAAAGAAGATGATTATTATTTAATATTAATATAATTTCATTATTGTTTCTCAGAATATAAAAGAAATCAAAATGGGTAGGATATATAAATATTATCCATGATCATCAGTTGTTGTATTAGAAGTATTATCCATACTATTATTAACAGAGGTAGAATTATTATTTGAAGATGATACTGCTCCACATGCAATACATTTTTTAGTCTAAGCATTCCAACTATAAGTGTATTAACTCATTTTATAACAATTATCTTAAGTTAAAGAACTTGGATCACCGACAACACATTTACCTCCTTATGGTTAACAAACAGTATATTTCTTACCATCAAAACTTGGGATAGTGACACATTTGGCTGTTCCTTTAGCAGCTGTATCACAAGTATGATTAGAACATGAACTAGGAGTAGTTCCTGTAGCAACAGTCCATTTACAAGTTTGAGACATAGATTGACAAGCAATTTAATCAGAATTTGCATCTGAACATTAAGTATATAATTTACAAACTCCAGTAGTTGCAGAACTAGAAGTTGGACTGAATACACATGCACCATCTGTACCACCAGCACTACAAGCTTCTTTAGTACTGTAATCTGAACATTTTCCTTTTTCTATACATTTAGTTCCATCTGAGATACATCCAGCTAAGGCAGAAGCACATTCAGAACTTTTAGTTTTTTTAGTATCTGAACATGTCTTACTTTTACATGCTTTGGCCATATTATCCCAAGTACATGCTTTTAATTGACTATCAATGACACAGCCACCTTATTTAGTATATGATGAGCAATCAGCCAAGGGTATACATTTAGATTCATTTGTAGTACATTTACTAGTTGTATTGATTTAATATGAAAAACATCCATTATGAGTAGAAGTTGAAGTTGATGCATCTGAACATTATCTTAATCTACATGATGTAGTATCTTTATCAAAATAACATGTACCATCAGTTCCACCTATTGTACAAGCAGCTTCACTATCAGCATAAGTAGAACATTCACCTTTTTCAACACATGTAGTTTCATTACTAATACATTTAGGATTATAAGATTAGCATTCTGTATTGATTTTTGAAACTAAATCTGAACATTATGTAAATAATTGACATTTCTTAGTATTTGTAACCCAACCACAAGAACCATCAGTACCAATTGTACATTAAGATTATTTTGTATAATTAGCACAAATCTTCAAAGGAGTACATTTATTTTCATCAGTTGTACAATATTTAGATACTGCTTAACATGCAGCTACTGTTGTTAATGATAGATCAGTACAATTATAATATTAACGACAAGCATTATTAATCCATAGACATGGTCTAAGTGAAGAGTCTTTAATACATTTAGTTTATGATTTAAGCATATCACAAGTGAATATAGGTTTCATACATCCTGCACCATTACTTACACAACCTTCAATGAATGAATTACAATCAGAATCACTTATTAATGTAGTAGCAGCATCTTAACATTCTTTTACTCTACATCCTTTTATTTATGTACCTGTTACTATATTTTCATCCCAAGCACAACTATCCATTGTATCTGTAGATTTTGCATTTGCACATATTTCTTTTTTTTTATAAGTAGTACATTCTCCTTTAGTTGCACAACCATTTCCAGTTCCACCAAAAGTACATGTTGTAGAATATGCAATACAATCAGCCTCAGAACTAACAGATAATGGTAAATCTTCACATTTTGCTTCTGTGCAGACATTATCCTTCCAAATACAAATACCAAATCCTGAAGTTGTTTTAGAGGAAGTACAAACACTTGATCCACTTGAAGTGAAATTACTACATGAAGATTCAATATCTCTACATTAAGATTACCAAGTACAAATAAAATCATCATCAATTTTAACAGCAGAACAAATAGATGAAGATAGTACA